AGGGTGCGGGGATCTTAGAATGTTGGAACTAACTGCCTGCAGTAGCTATAGAACCCAGCATCTTCTTAATTGTCTGAATTGTCTGAATGACTGGCCTGTGAAAGTTTTGAATGACTTTTAGTCATTCTAAAATGAAGGATTTACCTCCTTGGGGACAAATTTTGTCCTAGATGACATAACTTGTTTTGACAAAATTATAACATTCCTTGTAACTTAAAGTCGTTTCTGAGTTAAAACTGTTAAGAAGACAGATGAAATTAAGAGAGTCAACTCATTTTTAGAAACTTATAAGAGACCATCCAAATGTTGGGTAACACTAGAATGTGCCATGGCTGGTGTGGCTCAGTTGGTTGGGTGTCGCCCCATGCACCAAAACGTTGCTGGTTCGGTTCCCAGTCAGGACACATGCCCAGGTTGTGGGCTCAATCCCTGGTAGGAGACATGCAGGAGGCAGCCGATCTTGTTAGCTCTCACATCGATCACTCTCTCTCCCCCTTCCTTTCTCTCTGAAAATCAATTTAAAAATATTTTAAAAAAATACTAAAAGCCCTGGCAGGTTTGGCTCAGCAGTTAGAGCTTCAGCCCACGGACCAATGAGTCATGGGTTCGATTCCGGCCAAGGACACGTACCTTGGTTGCAATTCATCCTTGGCCCTGGCTGGGGTCGTGTGGGAGGCAGCCACTCAATGTGTCCCTTTCAAGTCTATGTTTCTCTCTCTCTCTCATCCTCTCTCCCCCTCCCACTCTGAACAAAAATGGAGAGAGAAAAAAAAAAGACTAGAATTTCAGGGAAACTGCAGGTCAATAATTTCAGGGATTTGTGGGGAAAAAAATGTAGGAGGGCACTTCTTTAACACTCACTGAAGCCCGGCCAGTGTGGCTCAGTGGCGTGGGCGTTGGCCCATGGACTGAGAGGTTCCAGTTCGAGGCCCGGTCAGGGCACATATCCAGGTTGCTGACTCGGTTCCCAGTAGGGGGCGTGCAGGAGGCAGCCGATTGATGTTTCTCTCTCACATTGATGTTTCTCTCTCCCTTAAAAATCAACAAAAATGTGTTTTTTATAAAAAACCTCACTGAAGCATAACTGTCAAAGCATGTGGTTGGCTTTCCCAGGAAGGTACAAGCAGCATTAACCATTTCAATTTAACCTAGGAACCACTAAAGAAAGCAAGCCAGAGGTGTGAGTCTAGAACAAGCAACCCCATGATGAACGCGTGTTTAGGTTTAATGTGGAAGGGAAGTCGAGATGACGATTTTATTTGACCCTGGGGTCCTGAACAAATCTATGTCCTCACACACCGTGTTTCTTAACTAGGAAGATGGGAGCACAAGCACCGGTACCGTTACGATGGGTCTTTTCTTATTAGGTTTGAACTCTTGGTTTTATCCCTTATCTGCTATGTTTAGAAGTTACTGTGCAAGCTTGGATAGGGTTTGAATGTGTCAACATGAACCTTGATGTGCTCCGCCCTAAAAATTCACCGATTTAGTTAGAATTTGCAGTCCCTTACAGTCTGATATGTCATAAATATCCTTAATTAGGGTTCGATTTAGACACAAGAATACCAGTGAGTTAGTTTCCAAATTAATTTTAACCTGAGTTCGAACAGGGGAGTGCTTGGGGCTCTCAAGGAAGAGATCTTCAGAGGAGCATGTAATCTTGCAGACCCTTGTGCACAATAGATCCCTCTCAATTGAGTGAGCAGGTGTAGTGTCACAAAGGATGAAAGAATGCTCCTTAGTTCAAGGATGAAGTGATGAGCTGGGATAGAAGTGCCCCCACGAGGTTAACCCTGGGCGTTCTGGAGGAGTTTCTAATACAGTTGTTCAGGGTATGAGCCAAGCACAGACCAATGAGTAAGACGTTGCTGACATAAGAACTGTAAACGTAGCCCTTTGCTGTGGGTACTTTCACGTGAACTAACTGAAAGCAGAGCGGAAACCTATGCTTCTGATGAAATTTTATCACCAATGTTGTGGGCACCGCTCAGATGGACGCCCAACCCAAAATTTGGTTTGGATGTTGAGACCAATAATCAAACACATACCAAGAGGGTATGAAAAAGTTTATTATTTACATAATAAGACTTTCTGGGGACACAGGGCAAGTCCCCAGGCAGATCCCAAAATGACTTGACTCACTTGGCTTTTATTGTTCTCAGGGTGTGAGGCTGAAATTTGAACTTCCCACCTGGGCCAAAGGAGGCACCCAGGCCTTCTACTCACTGTGCCCAGGTGAGAGTCGGGGGAAAGGAGAGGGATGGAGACGCTTGAAAGCTGTCAGCAGTCAAACATCAGAAATGGAGTTGGCCTCTTTGTCACAACCAAATTAACTATATTCCTTGCCTATAAAAGCCTGTTTGTTCAATTCCTAAGGAAATCTAGGTCTATAAACCCGCTCCTGCTGGCAGGGTCCTGTGAAAGCTATGATGCTCCCCCTTCCTCCAAGATTCAGATGTGGTTATGAGTCTGATGAGTAAGCATTTTCTAGGAGTCAAACCAGGGGACACAGAGGACAACGGACAAAAGACTTTCTCCCAGACAGCAGATTCAAGGTTTAACCAACAACTACCTTGTTTCTTGCCACGGCAAGGGATTTGTGTTAGCCCTGCTCAGATTTTCATCATGGCATGGGCCATTGATGGCTCTACATCATTCTTTTCATTTAGTCTAGTATTCATCCTCCCATTTCTTTATAGTAATAGGACTGGAGTTTCAGTAGGACATACGTCCATCTAGTTGGACATATCTCAGCCTTCCTTGAAGCTAGGCATAGCTATGTGGTAAGTAATTATGGGCTGAGCAGATGTGATGGCTAAAACTTCCTTCAAAGGAAAGAACTTGCTCCCAACTTCCCCTCATTTCATAGGCTGCACAGTGAATGTGCTTCTTCAAGCAGCTTTGACCATTACCCTGGGCAATGAGAGAACAGGTGGATGGGTCCCGCCTCCCTGGATTACCTTGTGAGACGGAGCTGCCCTGCACTTCCCAATTACTCTGGATAGTTATGTGATGAAGAAATAAACTTCTATTGTATGTGAGTGATCACATTTGGGAGTCTTAGACCCTTTTTTCACTTATGCAAAAAAGAATTAAAATGTTAAGAAGTTAAGCTTCTTTACCTTTTGTGATCTTTAAAATGCCCTCTCCTTATTCCTTTAGGTTTTATCTTTAATGACAAATATAGTCTCACATTTAACTGACTGTAAACAAGTAAGACCCTAAAACTACATGTGACCTCATGAATCCAATGTGTTTCTCCTCTTTTCCAAAACTCAACCTACAGAATACATTCATATATACTATTTGGGCCTACATATAGGCATTTAGTTAATATAAATGTTTGAATGTCAAATTGATAAATGAAAACTCAGATTGATTTATATCAATTTCCCCTTTTTCCAACACTTAACATATGTCCATGTGTTATTTTTATCTACTCTGTAATCAATTAATCATAGGTTACTGGATTAAGATAAGTAGACTTCATCTCCTACAATGTGATGCAAAGATGATTTTCTGATTCCCGTTTCTGTGCGATACTTCAGAATGGTTTGCTGTGTTGCTAAGACAACAGGGATGCTTCCACAGAAAACTGGGATTGAAGTCAAGGCACTGGAGCGGCCTCAGAAAATGTCACGAATAGTGTGTTCAAGGGCTTTTTCACACTGCAACTGGTAACACTTGAATTAGGAAAAAAAAAAAATCATACTCATCCAGCACCCTTCCACTGAAGACTATAGCTCTCATTTACTTTCATCCTAAGATTAAGAAAAATATGATATGTGGACTAAAAGTCAGGAAAGCATCATTCCACTAATATGCATCTTTCTTAGGACACTGAGCAAATAGCTGAGGGGAGCTTGTCCTTAAATTCTACTTTGTTTTTATTCTACTAGAAGCATGTCTGAAGAGTACTAGAAAAAAAGCAAAAAGTTTATGTTGTCAGTTGTTCCTCCACTAAAAATGTACCTTTGGAGCAAAGGTTTGATTCTACCTAGTAAAGAAGTAGGATAGATTTGCTATTCCCTGAGACCTGTGATTGATATTTGCAATTTGAGTTTATGAACAGATGCAAAGAGATCTGATCTCCTCCTTTTGATAAAGGCAAAGAAAGCCCAGCTGTGATGGAAGCTGGGCTGCATCTCCAGGTCTGTCCAAGCAAAATGAACATCAGCAAGAGTCTTTTGTTTTGTTTTGTTTTTTGTTTCTGTCGCTGTTAAAACTCACCCAAGGATATTTGTCTATTGATTTTTTTTTTTTTTTTTTTTTTAGATAGAGCGGAAGGGAGGGAGGGAGACAGTTCAGAAATATCGATGTGAGAAACACATCAATTGGTCGCCTCCTTCACAACACTGAGTGGGGCTGGGGGTCAAACTTGTAACCCAGATATATGCCCTTGACCAGGAATTGAACCCATGATCCTTTAGTCCACAGTCCCATGCTCTAACCACTGAGCAACGCTGGTCAGGGCAACAGTATTTTTGTTTTAATACTGGTAACATCAAGGCAAGGACTAAGAAAATTAAAACAAATGTTTGAACAGATCTTGAATATTTTTTTCTGACTTAAAAAAAGAAATGAAAACAGCCTTTGACTATGCAGAAAGGTGTCCTTCACATCATGTACATTCTATTGCACAAGGACATAATCCATCCAAAACAAACATGAACTGATGAATAGAGGGGTGCAGTGCTCCCAGAGCGAGGACAAGCCTTGTTCAGAATCATGTTCTTCTCTTAAGAAGTCACCTGGTGAGAAGTAATGGACAGACAAAGGTAGTGTTGGAGGGTATGTTTTCCCACTTGTTGAGGGTCCCTGGCTGAAGAGTCACAGAAGTGACTGCAGTTTTCCCTTTTCAAGCAGAGTTCCAAAGGTACTCATTCATAATGGAAACCGGGGATTATATAGTGAGGTCGGGACTTGTGCAGAAATCCTCATCTCCAAGTCAAAGTTCAGTCTAGCAGAATCAAGTGAAACCCAGAAGACCTTTCTTTTTGAACCCTGGTGTTTTAGGGATAAAAAAGAACATAGAAAAGAACACAGACCACTCTCTTTTAATATTTTTAAATACCATAAATCATAATGATTTGTATACTACACTGTACAATTATACACTGTTACTTTCCAAAAAAAAAATGTTAACATTTTATCAGATTTTCTGAAACGTATTCCACACAACTAAGAGCTTGACCCTTTAGCCGTCGCTACAACACAGAATAGAACCTGGGAGGCTCCAGGTATTCCAGTTGTGCCTGTAGCTGCTGCCATTGGGGGAGGAGCCTCTCGGAGACCTCTCAGCCCCTTCTACCTCCTGCGCCGGAAACTGGCTCTGCAGGCAGCTGTGTGCTGATGGGTTCAGCTTCTGTGCTTTGCTTTCCACAGTCTACTCCCTTCTAAGAGAACTTGCGCTTCTTCATGGCTTCTGCCTTGACAGCCAGGCTCTTGGCACAGATGGTCAGGACCACAATGAGAACGCCCACCACAAATGTCACCAGAGGCCAGAGGAAGCAATGCAGGAGGACAATCTCATCATGCGTGCGATGCAGGAGCACGTCATCTGGTCTGCAAGACAGTGGAAAATAGGAAAGAGAGTGGTCAACTGCCTTGGGATGGCACTAAAAACTCTTTACAGCCTGGAGCCCAACTTACTTTCTGGCTCAAAGGGAATATCCATCACCGAAAATGAAGATGCGGGGACTCCGTGATGGCTGCAGAGTAGGTGGAAGCTACACTCACCTGCTGCCGCCAAACCGGATTTACAGCTAAATTACAGAGCAATCAACCTGAATAACTGACTGGAGGACAGTTTAACCAGAGTATTATAACCAAGGATTTACAGAAGAAGACTCATGGAAACTGGTAAGAAGGGCAGAGCTGTAGAGAGGGCTGGTCCCTGCACCCACAGGGGTGACTGAGAAGGCAGAGGGATATCTCAGGGACAAAAAGTGCTCCCTGAGGAACTAGGGGGTCTCAACCCTAGGACGGAATCCCCAACCCAGAGCACCAGAGCCAAGAAGAGGAATCTGCATAGCACCTGGCAGTGAAAATCAGTGGAGACTGCCTGGAAGAGGAAGGAATCTGCTAGAAACCCAGGTGTTCTCTTAAAGGGCCAATGCACAGGATCTTGCTCTCGGTCATCCACATGGGGCTCCAGTAGAGAGAAGGCGACTCAGCCTATGGGAGTCATAAAGAGAAGATCTGAGTGGCATGTCCTGAGGAGAGATCTGGAGGGTCAGCCACTGAGGTCCCTGTGCTGAGTACTTATCCCACACTACCCTCAGGTGCCATCTTCCCAGGGTCAAACATTCTTACAACACTGGCTTGGGGAGTGCATTAACCCAGGCAACACAACTCTGCCAAGCTCAAGTCCAGCAGAAAGGTTTGTTAGCTGCACATAACAGGGACCTTTGGGGTGCTCTTTTTCTGGAGAAGTACTAGGTGGACAATCAGACAGTCGTTGAGCTGTGTGGCTTTAAAATGGGGGACAGTCTTGCCCCCCTCAAGCAGGCTTAGTCAGCACTACCCCCAACAGAGGAGACTCTTTTGATCAGTCCTCCCAATTTCCAGTGACCCACCCCTGCTGAGCTGAGTTCTGCAGGGGAAGGGAGTACTTCTCAGAGCTGGGAGCTCTGGAGGCTTTTGTCCTGGACTCTGACGGGTGCTAGGTTGTGTGGTTACAGAGCAGGGAGAAGGGGATGTGCCTCCCCTGCTCTTGCAGGCTCTGCTGGCACCAGCCCAATGGGAGACTCTTTTGATCTGTCCTCCTAAGTCCTGGAGGCTCTGTCCAATTAAGCTTGCTCCTGGAGAGGGGCTGGCTGGCTGTACCCAACCTGAACCTGCAGTGCACTCCTCATGGGGGAGCTAGGGTTCGAGACTCTGGCAGAGCTGAATAGTATGGCTCTGGAGTGGGGGCTACTTTCTCCCCCACTGAGTGCCTGATTGAGCTGCCCCCAAGCAGGAGACCCAGTAGAACAAGTCATCCCACTCTACCAAGCTTACACCTTGTGTTGGGGTCTGTGGGTCATGTCAGGCCTGGGGCCACTCTATAGCTTTTCTTTAGAAGGCTCTGGAGGAAGACCAGGTAACCTCAGGGGGTGGCAGAGTAGCCAACAGGTGGAGGTGGACCTCAGTGAGCCTTGGAACTTTTATTGATCTGCCCCTGTATCAGAGCTGAAGGAAGCTGATCCTTCTACAGCTTGACCTCTTCCATGCACACCTACACCCAGTAGACACAGGCAAAAACAGTGAATAGTATGTTAGCTCCAGACAGTAGCCCAAGGCCGGTTACACACAATGTCTGACATCAACCTACACTGGAATCCCACCCAAATGAACTCAGAACCAACCCAACCAGTGGTGGGCTTCAGACTAGCGCATACCCAAAGTGGCATTCAGGCAGGCACCAGACCTTGCTGGGAACAGCTCTGCCGCAGGGGGCAGCCCCTGCAGAGTGACTCATACACTGTGATCGAGATCTATCCTTATAGTCAGCCTGAGGGTTAACTTCACCCATGAACAAGCCAACAATACTCAAGACTCAACCACAACTGGAGGGCATGCATAACCCACACAAGAGACGTTCCTGGAAAACCTAGCTCAGGTGATCAGGAAGAGTGTGCCACTGCCTCCCTCAAGACACCAACATCATAAAGCCATCATAACAAGTTTGGGAGTCATAGCAGATCTACCTAATACCCAGAGACAGACATAAAAAGGAAGACAAAATAGGGAGACGAAGAAAGATGCACCAAATGAGAGAACAAAAGAAAGCCCCAGAAACAGAATGAAATGAAATGGAAGGAAACCAAGACACCAGATGCAAAATTTAAAACAATGGTTATAATGATGCTCGAGGACCTTAGGGTAAGAACAGAGGATCTCAGTGAGAACTTAAACGAAGAGACAATAAGCATTAAAAGGACATATGAACCATAAAACAAACAAAAAAACAAACAAACAAAAAAAAAAACAACCAGAAATGAAGAACACAATTTGTGAAATGAAGAATACACTAGAAGGAATCAACAGCAGGTTAGATGCAGCAGAGGACTGAATCAGTAATTTAGAGGACAAGATAACAGAAAACACCCAAGCAGAGAAACAAAAAGGAAAAAGAATTTTTTTAAAATGAAGAAAGTCTAAGAGACCTCTGGGACAACATCTGTATCATATGGGTACCAGAAGGAGCAGAAAGAAAGCAAGGGATCAAGAACTTGTTTCAAGAAATAATGTGTAAGTCCTGGCCAGTGTGGCTGAGTGGTTGGAGTGTTAGTCCATGGACCAAACAGTTCCAGGCTTGATTCGGGTCAAGAACACGTACCTCGATTGTAGTTCAATCCCTGGGCCTGGTTGGGGTCGAGCAGCAGGCAACCAATCAATGTGTCTCTGTCACATTGATGATTTTTTTTTTTCTCTCTCTCTCTCTCCCTCCCTCCCTCTCTATCTGAAAATCAATGGAAAAATATCCTCAGGTGAGGATTAACAACAACAAAAAAAGAAATAATGGTTGAAAACTTCCCTAACCTGGTGAAGGAAAAAGATACACAAAAGGGAAGATGGTGGGGGGAGGGTAAACTGGGTAAAGGTTATCAAATATATGGTAACAGAAAGAAACTAGACTTTGGGTAGTGAGCACACATTATATTATATACAGATATCAAATTATAAGGTTGTACATCTGAAATTTATATAATGTTATTAACCAATGTTACCTCAATAAAGTTAATATGAAAAATTAGTAAAAATATATTTCCTTTGACTCTGTCTCACCCAATGAGATCTCATCCACCCCACAGTGCCTGTTCTATTGGCTAACAGAGAGAAAATGGTGACCTCATTTTTAATGGGCTAGAAAATTTCTTAAAGTTATCCAGCTCATGTAAAAATCTTACTGCATTATAATTTACTAGTATCACATAATGGTAACTGAACCAATCAAGAGATGAGATAATCTACTTCAAAGTACATTCTCCATGAGATCCTAAAGAGAATAGAAATCCTTCCAGATTTATTATCACAAGTTCTTCTCGCTTATCTAGGCAGAGAATTTCCTTTTCATGGAGACTGCTAGAAGTTAAAATGTTGGTTCACCTCTAGCAAGACTGTATGGCTTTTTTATGTTAACCAGACCCCTTATGCATTATCTTATTTTCTTCACGTTTTTGATTTCTTTTATCTTGTTAAATTCCATCAACCTTTAGAGTTCTCATTAAATGCTTCTTAGAATACACATACATCAATTATGTACCTTTACATATCAGGTATACAATAAATCTTAGAAACATTTTTAGTTGTCAAACTTACCCATTTTTATGATAAATAATATACTACATCATTATAATAATTTTCACCTATGTATTTTGATAAAATCTTATTTTAAAGTCTACAAATGCTTCACAATCACAAAATAATTCTGCAGGTACAATATCAGTCCAATATAGCAGACTTCTGTAGTAGAAGCATAGCCACATGACATAAAAATGTAATAATTTCATCCACCAAACCTTTCAGTTTTAGTTTTGTTTTTGTTCTAGTGAGAGGAAGAGAGAAATGGAGAGGGAGAGGGAGAAGAAGAGAGAAAGAAAGATCTGTTGTCCACTCATTGTGCACTTATTGCTTGATTCTTGTATGTACCCTGACTGGGGATGGAACCTGCAACCTTGGTGGATCAGGACGATGCTCTAACCAACTCAGCTACCCAGCCAGGGCTTCTCCAAACCTTTCGAATAAATGCTATCTGTTCCTGCTCAAAATCTTGCTTATTATTTATAACATGACCCTGCTTTTAAAAAGAACCTGAAATAGATAATAAAAACAAAGACTTAAGAATAATAAAATCCTTAAACTAACAGTAAAGTGCAGTACAATTTAATTAGGATGGGAAGAATAGAAATCCCAGGCTTAGAAAAGCCCCTGCCTTAAGCTGAGTGGAACTCACTTCTGAATGTCCCAGCACCAAGGAAAAACAGGAGAGATGGAGAGATGACTTAGTTACCATTTTATTTTATTTTATTTTTAAAGAGGCATGTGAATTTGTCAGAACACACTTTTTGCTAGGGCTAAACTCAATAAATTAGATGGTGCGCATTTTCCCATAGAGTAATCTGTATACACATTTAAAAGGCCCTTACTAGCAGTTTTACAAACCTGGCAAGAGAAATTATTTGAGGAGTTTTTACAATATTGTTTCCAAGTCTCAGATCTCCTGAGTCAGACTGAGGGTTTACACAGCTTCCCAGGTGATGCTAATAATTACTCACATCTGGGAATAACTGACTTGAGGCCTTTTAAATACCTTTAACGGTTTTTGACAAGAACTGAAGAGCAATCGTTCCAGACTGAAATCACTGAGGAGCATTCCGTTACTGGCTGAAAGGAGTCTTCCGTCACCTTAATTCCTGACATGGAAGTGACAAAATGTTATTTTATAATGAAAACCAAAGAACTCTGACATGTATTTATTCCAGAATAACTTTGCTTGGAACTGGGTTTCAGACAGCCTGTGCAAGTCTTCTGTAAAAGTCTCAAATGTATAAAGACATTTCCATTAAAATGCCACAGGT